GGGCTGTCTTCTCCGGCGAGGGGCTCTGGCGGTTAGGGTTAGGTTTTAGGTGTGGATGGGGTTATTCATACCCATCCACTTTTGATCTGGGTTGTCCATCGCTTTTAATCTGGATTGTTCGATCGCAATTAAATAGGGAGTGAATTTGAACCGTTCATCGCGATTCAATCTGGGCCGTCCGTGCGCAATTCAATATGGGTTGTCCGTGCGCGATGCAATCTAGATTGTCTGTGCGCGTTTTCGATTTGGGTTGTCCGTGCGCGCGGGAACAGATCTCAGTCGTTCGATCGCGCGCACGCGGATCACCCACGTGGCTCCCCCCATGTGGCCTCCCGCGTCAGTGTCTCTGCCACCTGGAGCGTCCTGGTTGGTCGGGGCTGCTGACTGAGCAGCTGACAAGGCGTAATTTTTCTAAATTCCGTTTTAATTCCCGATTTCTGATTTTTCTTTTAAAAATACTCTAAGAATCCAAATCTTCACCAATTTTTTCCAGAATTGTTTTCAATTAAATCCCTAACTAATTTTTTTATCTTTTTTATTATTATTATTTTTATTAATAAAATAAAATAAATTAAAATTATATAAATAATAATTATATTTATATAAAAATAAAAATAATTAAATATTGGGTGTTACATGTAGTCTGTAGCTTAGCTTATGAAGCTGATGCCATTAATGTTTGGCTTAGTAAGATGCATATTCCGGATTTCTTGTTAAAAGATAAAAAATCAGATTATGAATTTAAATAATCAAACATCAAATGTGAACGTCAACTAGGACCAGATTTTTTTGTTGAAGAACTTTTAGCAACTGTTGTAGTTCTTTTATTTTATCACTCAACTTGATGTATGTATATATTCTTTTGAAGGTATTGAACAGTTGGTGCCTGAATTATTTGGAAAGATACTTATTTCTTTCTTGTACCAATAAAATTTTTTGAGAGGAGTAGAATGCACCAGCACTTGGGCAGTCTGTACTTTGTCCCGCAGAACATGTGGACGGGGGGAGGGGGGGAGCCTATCCATAAATATATTGAACAAATCTACCTGCAAATCTAGAATTTTAAACCACTGTCATCTAACATTTATAAAGGATGCTTCTTAGTTGTTTTTTCTACTTTGATTATTGTATTAATCTTAATGCAGACAATGTGAAACGAAATATCCAATTCCATCATTTTCATGGAGGTATTGGTGACAGAATAGGCTACACTGTAAAGAAAAAGATGCATTAGAATTGCTCATATATTCTTCTTAAAGAATGTTATTAAGATTAACATTTATTATTTTGGTTTCACTTAAATAATCAATAAGAACAAACCCTAATATTCATATATATATATATATATATATGCTGTCAATGTCCTGTAAAAATTGACAGCTTTTTGTACTATAATAAAAAAAAAATTATATTCATACTTAAAAAGTTTTTGTCTTTTTGTTAATATATTTTGGCCCAAAAATTTGTTAAACTATTTTACTTGTAAATTTACTACGAATATTTGTAATTAGAATAATAAAGTTTTTGTTTTTTTTTTTAAAAAAAAATAAATAAATAAATCTTGTTAAATAAAAATTTATGACATTAACTTTAAAACTAAGAACTAAAATCAAACATCCCCCCAGAAAAGGGGAAAAAAACAAACAACATAAAACAAACATACCTTAATCCTAAACGTACCGTGAACAAGATGAATTAGATCCAAATTCCATGGTTTACTTTATTAACAATGCCACTTTTCTCCATTACAAGTCCCCACAGCCGCCCCCCCCTCCCCAATCATTCATCCAACCAAACGATCTACAAACCATTAATGAAAATCATACAAGGCACTTTCCTTTTTTTACAGCCACAGATTTCCCAAGCTATGTGGCCAATTCTCCTCCCTGCACTTTCTTTCTCTCTCTTTCACCATCTAAACCAGCACTTGCTGTCTCATCTCAGCTACTATCGACTTGATGGACAGGATAATATTACAGATATTATACCTCCTTGGACTTTAGTACTTTTCCTTTGTCTGATACTTATGTGCTCAACTGATGGGGGTTAAAAAGCCTTCTGAGATCAGGTGGGTGCATGGTCCACCAAAGTTTTGTGGTCTCCGGCCGATCAGAATCAAATAAAATCTCCAAAGCAAAAAAAAAAAAAAAAAAAAAAAAAAATATACATAGTTGTGGGACCATCAATGATGTGGTGCCACATCGATATCATCTTTGATCTGTGCCATCGACGATGTGAGGAACGGTAGAGATGCCTTTCCTAGAGAGCTCGGTTAATACACTGTCAGTGGAAGGAGGCTTGAGGCCTAATGGCAAAGGTAGCCATGGCTTGTTTATTGCCTCTTTGACAACCCTGTCTATTTCCTCCGCCTGCAAAAACAATATTAGCCAATTCATAGTCATGTAAAGTAAATTACGAAAAGAGATTATCTCCTCGGTTTTGATTCATTTTCACTCAACTCAGAGGACCCATGTAGCTTAAGTTCTAAATACTTTAGATATTAACTAGTTTGAGTTTTGAGGTCAAATTTCTACAACTTCACAGAAAATATAGATATCACAATTACCGGATAAGAGTCAAAAGAATTCGGGTAAGGCATTCTGCAGCCATTATCTGTTGTAGCCATGCAGTGAAACCCAGATGCATTCTGTAAGACAAGAAACCAAAAGAAAAGATTTAACATGAACTGGAGTTACTGAAATTCAAGCATGGAGCTACCACATCCTTCAACGCAAATGACATTTGAGGGAAAATGGATTTGTATAATACTCACTTGAGGAGAAGTGGGAAAAGGACCATGTAGCGGTGGCATCATAGGACAACCCCATGCATCCGCATGCATCTGAAAAATGAGAAGAACATTTATTATTTAACGCCAACCAGATGAATTTCATTAGTTCGTTGTGATATACCAGAGGTTGAATCTTGCTTTCATGAACACTTACCCCTGCATAAGGTTTCCAATGCCAACTTTCAGTTGCCTGCCACTGAGGATAACCAATTGACCCCCACATTTGGACACCATGTGGACTACCCGTAGTTGCTCCCCATATTGGATAAACTGGCCCCGCGGCGGTGGCAGGACTGGAATGATATGGAGGGTAGGCCATGATAGGTTTCTGCACATAGTAACTCCTTTGCGTTTGATCTCTTGGTTGTACCCATCTCCGGTCATCTTCCTTAGGTAAAATATTTCTCCTATGCATCCGATATTTCTGCACAAGATGTAGGTTTTCATTTATCAGCATAACAGTAGGAAAGTTATGGTTGCACTCCGTGCAATATGAAACAATAGAGGACTCCACAGGATGAACACTATATGCCAGCAAGAAAAGAGAACGTATAGATCATATCTAAAGTTGCTTCGAAAGGTTTTCTATAACCAAAGCATTTTCAGGACTTGAAAACTCGGAATCGGAAACATTTTTGGCAGAAACTTAAGCTAGTGGGAAATGCTCAATTTATTATTTAAATTATATTTATAAAGCTAAATTTAAAAGCTCCGACACGTTGAGAAAGAAAAAAGTAGGAAACTGCTACCATGTCATTACAGAAATATTGAGTTATATCACTTGAAAGAAATGTGCTAGGTAGAGGATTACAACGAACCTGCAGATGACTTGCCACATTATGCCTCGTCAAGCCTTCAACTTTCATCAACTCTAGAATTCGAGAAGGAATGGCTTGATCCACACCCAATTTCTCAACTGCCTGCACAAACTTTTTATGCAGTTCAGGTGTCCAGTCAACCTGAAATCTCAAACAGAAAACAGGTATCAATTACACATGTAAAGAAACCAAATGTGCTAAGATAACTTCTGTTGACAAAAGAATAAATGCATGTTTTGGAAAAAAATAATGTTATCGACAATAATAATTTCTGAAGTCATTAAGAATAATGAATGAGATGGTTACGAAGGTTGAGAAGCTCGTGAAGGAAAATTTTGAAGATGGTAATAAATTGCGCAGTAACTTAAGTCCTTATAAATTTCAAGTCATCAATCACATTCCTAAACAGTGTAAATGGCAATATGAAACTCTTTCCCCACAAGGCTGCATATCATAACTAACAATTTAATTACAACAAACACCCTCACTTTATCCAAGATTGCACCAGCATAATTACCAAGCTGGCACCTGATATCAGTAACCATGTTTCAGATGTAATCACCATTGGCAAACTGACTTTTCAGACCTCATTCATGATCCCCTAGACACTCAAGCTTAACCCTTTTTTGGAAGGATTCTAGCTTGAGTTGTTTCTAGCGAGCAACATCAATCCTTATATAAAGCGCTAAGCAATAACATTCCTAATTGATGTGAATATAAACTGGTAAATATACAACTGGTTGCATATACCAAGTTCTATAATCTCAATATAAACTAGAATTACCTTCATTTTTTTTCTATTAGCTTTATTCCCAAATGTACTGTGAAGTCCAGAAGCTTTACTTGGGTTATTAAAACCATGGGAATCATTGGGACCGTCTTTACTTTGAGCACAAGGATGCATATTACCACCACTCTTCAAACCATCAGCTACACCTACCTCCTCTTTGACTATTATATCTAGGACTTCCTCAGGTTGCACCACCTGTCCATTTACTGCAGCAATAAAATCACCAGAAGTAGTTTCCACTGATTTACATTCTCCAACTTGCTCAACACTATCTTTTTCTGTTGAGGATTTAATATGATCTTGGCAGTCCCCATCATCTAATAATCGTGCTCCTTGTTTTAATTGTGGGGTTGAAGGAGCTGGGTACTTGTCGCTTCCCACTGATTGCTCTTGCTCCTTTTCATCTGTAAGAGCTACATTTTCTCTCTCATCAGCCTCGTTGTTCTTCGGTTTTTGATTTTCTAGTTTGAGTTGCAGCATAGAAACCAAGGATTGCTTGACAGGCTTTAGTGATTCAGATAGGTTACTTTCCCCAGCATTAAATGCCTATAGACAGGACAAATAAAATCATAACTTTTCCCAGTTTTGGAGTCACTACGAAGATTATTCTCAGCATGATATAACCTGAATCCGATCAAACCTTATGCACCACATGTTGCCATATATTTCGTAGTTTGTCCTCAGAGAGCGGTTTGTGCAGGAACTCAACTGCACCAAGCTGAAAAT